TCGGATCACCAGCAGTGATGGTGATACATGGCTGTGTACATTCTGTATATACAACTCGTCTAAACATCAACCCAACACTGTTAGATCTGTAAATTTGCTTTCGCAAATTATTTGTTCTTCCCTCGCCGGGATTCGAACTCATGCTACTGAGATATCGTGACACCAAATCGCCTGCACTGTATCCGACGCGCTAGACTACACGACCACCTAGGCTTTACTATAATAAAGCTTTCGGTGGCCGGGGTTACCTTTCCTCGTCAGTTTTAATCTAGCGTCGTAATACAGGACATGATATATATGGCATGAAGATGGAATTGTTACAGATCAGCTGAAATGTCTATTGTAAAGGATCCTAGCTACAAATTAATGCAAGATACAGTCACAGAAATAATTATATTTATAAGTACGTCTGAACCAGTGACAACTCTACAACAGATTTATCCATCGGATCACCAGCAGTGATGGTGATACATGGCTGTGTACATTCTGTATATACAACTCGTCTAAACATCAACCCAACAATGTTAGATCTGCTTTCGCAAATTTTTTGTTCTTCCCTCGCCGGGATTCGAACTCATGCTTCTGAGATATCGTGACACCAAATCACGATATCTGTATCCGACGCGCTAGACCACACGACCACCTAGGCTTCACTATAATAAAGCTTTCGGTGGCCGGGTGTTACCTTTCCTCGTCAGTTAAAATCTAGCGTCGTAATACAGTACATGATATATAAGGCATGAAGATGGAATTGTTACAGATCAGCTGAAATATCTATTGTAAAGGATCCTACAAATTAATGCAAGATATATACATACAATTATAGACAAATATTTAAGTTTTTACGAAATTGTTCGGAAAAGACTATATATATATATATATATATATATATACAAGTCTTAATTGAAAACAACGTTCAAACCTATAATTGCGTTGGATAAAAACCGCAATTTTTATACGTGTGCATGCAAAACAAATTTCTTAGTAGAGTGGTCTAAATACAGCACAAACAACATTTTCCAAAAGACCAAAAAAAGTGAAAAAGTATATTTTAACAAAACGCATTTGACTAGCAGGTCGAACAACGGATGTTCTAAAACCCTGCTGACTGCCATGGCGATTGCCAAATAAACGGATCACCAGATATAAAAATGGATCATAATTATTAATTTAATACCAAACAGAAAACAATAAACTTGCGGAAAAGATGGTATACCGCAAACATGAGGTTCAAAAATTAGTACACCATATCCGGATTTCGACAATTAATGTCTCTTCAGTGATGTAAGGAATCGAAACGGTATTTGGAAGGCCATATAATTTACCTCAATTTGGGATTGACTCACTCTTATATATATATATATATATATATATATATTTGCGAAAGCAAATTTACAGATCTAACATTGTTGGGTAATGTTTAGACGAGTTATATATATATATATATATAAAAGTCTAAATTAAAAACAACGTTCAAACCTATGATTGCGTTGGATAAAAACCGCATTTTTTATACGTGTGCATGTAAAACAAATTTCTTGGTAGAGGGGTCTAAATACAGCAAAAACAACAATTTCCAAAAGACCAAAAAAAGTGAAAAAGTCTATTTTAACAAAACGCATTTGACTAACAGGTCGAACAACTGATGTTCTTAAACCCTGCTGACTGCCATTGGCGATTGCCAAATAAATTGATCACCAGATCTAAGAAAATAGATCTTAATATCAATTTAATGACAAACAGAAAACAATAAACTTGTGGAAAAGATGGTATGCCACAAACATGGGGTGCAAAAATTTGTACACCATATCCGGATTTCGACAATTAATGTCTCTTCAGTGATGTTAGGGATCGAAACGGTATTTGGAAGGCCATATAATTTACCTCAATTTGGGAAAGACTCTTTAATTTTAAAGAGTCGAAATAGGATGAACGAATCATATAAACCCGAAGGAAAATATAATACAAGCCCAAACGAAAAAATATACAAAAGTCTAAATTGAAAACAACGTTCAAACCTATGATTGCGTTGGATAAAAACCGCAATTTTTATACTTGTGCATGTAAAACAAATTTCTTGGTATATATATATATATAGTCTTTTCCGAACAATTTCGTAAAAACTTAAATATTTGTCTATAATTGTATAAGAAAATACATCATTTGTGTGCTGTTTTCGAAAACCCATGGTTTTTTTTTGGTTTTTTCGAACGTTACGTATTTTACAGAAAAAGGTATTGACAGAGCTGAAAGTGAGTGGTCAGGGTTTCACATAATGTGTTTGTAGTGCTGTTGGTAAGACTAGATGTAACACAAAACGATGGCTTTGCAAAACAATGAGGAAAAATGTGAAGTAGATGCTGCCATCCAAACATTATCTGATATAACAAATGATGGTCGAGTTCAGTGTCTCTGTGAGTTGTCAACATTTTAGTAGAATTAATTTTCAATGGTTTTAAATTCTTAAAATACCTGCTAATGAATCCAGTGATTATCGCAGAATAAACTGCTCTGTTGTTCAAAGGCACGGCTTTTTTGTGAAAATTTCATATTACTTAATTTTTTCAGACATTTTGTAAAATGCCTTTCTATTTTTCCAGACATTTTATAAAATGCCTGATAAAAATTCGTCAACATATAATATTTAGAAAATGCATATCTTTTTCATGCAGTTTACAAATTGCCTAACTTATACATTGTTAAAGTCGTATAAAACAAGTTTCAGGAAATTATTGAACCAAAACATGCATATATACTAAACTTCTATGTGTATGTTTTTTTGTTAACATTTATTACAAATCAAGAACGTATAATCGACAAAAAATATTTCATAGGGTGGTTGTTGACCGAAAAATTTGGATGCTAATAACTTTCGGGTTTTAGTGCAGAAGCTCGCCGATCGTGACCTGTATATACATTCAGCACAGAATCATGGAGCACGTGAACATAGAGAGATGTTTATTAATTTTTTTTAATACTTTCTGGTGTGTTCCCATTTGTTAATCAAACATCAGCATAACAGTTATTAAATGATTTGTTGCATTACACTGTGGTGTTTCCTTATTTCTAAAGATAGGTGACATGGTCAAGTTCGCTGCATTTGGAAAAGCTGTCGGCGAATTAAAGTACGAGAAGACAATAATTCAATAGCGGTATATTTCTGAAAATTTGGATAGAAATAGAGAATTTTCTTTAAAGGAAAGTTTATGTTCATGGTTATCTACAGTAAAACTTAGCAGTTCAAGTATATTAATTTTTTTCAATTTTTGTTTGTTTAATTTATAGGATCACACGTGCCTTCTGAAATTTTGGCATAGATAAGAAAACTAAGACTCCTCTTTCATAATTACATTGCAGAACTTTCGAATGAAATGTTCAACAGCCGACAACCATAATGGTATGCTTCAGTTGATTAATAGTTATATACATTGTGATGGACTGTACTCACAAAAGCATTAACTATGGATTCCATATGAAACAACAACAATACATAGAGCTAGAAAACCTCACACGGCTGTTCTGCTGCGACATGCATACCAGTAGAATGAGGCAGATGGCAGGGTAGGGGCATTTTTCTTTTCAAAAATAACGACAATCCGCTTGGCTATTTACCTATTGTTTATTTGGACATTTTACAACAAAGTGCTTTAACATTTTTCTTTTCCTGGGTATTTTCCGCATAGTGCTTTAATGTACCTAAACTTTGAACATATCTACATATTCTGCAGATGAACGCATATATCCAATATTAACAGTATGTTTAAAATAGAGGACATTAACCTTTAGTGCTTACCTATAGACTGCTATAAATCTAATGTATATATCCGCACACCTAGCATAAAATAGCAACTAGTATTTTAGGCATGGAGCAGTGATGATGATCACATCCGTCTTAATCGTAACTGCACTGTAATGCACGATGTATATAAACATGTAAATGACAACGCAGTATTTGTACAGCACACTTTTACCGTTACCGTTATATATATATATATATGCATGAATTGGTGGATTAGTGGCACGTTCTTTTGTGTGTTGATGTGCCTTTTTAGTGGGTGCGGTTTATATTTGTATATAGCGCATTAGCCATCCTATTATGTGGAACGATCTAGAACGGCGATTTATACCTGTAGAAAGATACACGTCATTTGAACTCTGGTTGATAGTTGTCTTATTGGCAATCATACCACATCTCCTTATTTTTATATCAAATATCTTGAGTTCCCAAAACAACAATCTTACATTAGGAACTGAGGTTTTAAAACGAAGATGAGTTAATAACAAGTATATTCACATTACTCCAATGAGTGAAAAAAAACATCTTTTCAATGCTTTCAGAGAAAACCAAAAAATTGGACTACGGGATGTTCTTCCAAATTTTAAGGTACAAGAAACATGGATAAAAACTAATCCATGCAGGTTTCATATTATTTATATTTTGTTTATCAGTAAAGAGAACGAATAAAGTAGGGGAAAACGGGGAAATAATACTCCCGTGCGGTGCCCCAGTACTTGATTTGTCAGTCTATTTATAGTTTTTGGATTAGTTCCAATGAAAATATATAGTCATGTGTTATATAGTAATCGGGTATTAGATAGAACAGAGAAGGTTCCTTTGCTACGAAGCCAGATCCGTATGTACACCAAATTTTCACTAAATGAAATAGAGTACGAGATTATTTTTATTCTCCTGTACCAAGCATACATAGGTTGATATTATCTATAAAATTTGACCACTTATAACTATATAGACTTTGCCGGTTAACTTATGCATGACCTGTATGATCTGTGATTTTCATATTGTAAAATTTGTTTTTTCAGTCGATTCCTAACATTAAAATTATTTGAAGTTACTTGTAATAATTAGTTAAATTTTTTTTTCGTCATTGGCTCCAGGAAAAGTTCTGCAAATAACAATATGTCCGTTCTTGTTTACTATTAAAACAATGGTTGTTGGTGGTTAGTCAGATTTCATTTCACCTTGACCTTCATTTCTTATTTCCGGTGACGAAAAAATGACAACAAAGAAGGAAAATATATTTGATTAGTATTTTTTTGTCTATTTGTGTTTGATAATTGGCAGTATGGAAGCATGCCAAGCTGTGGAAAAAGAAGTTAACAAAGTTCTTGAAAAATTTACAGGTTTGAACCAACATTATGCCAATAACCTAGATGAACTGATGAACTCCATCCAGAGCATTCAAAGAGAACTTAACGAAGGTGTGCTTAAGTATTAAATTAAAAGTGCTTTTAAAGAATTCTTATTCAAGTTAGTAGTCAGCTTATCCAAGTTAGAAGTCAGCTTACATCTTTAAAACCAACTGTGGATTCATTATTATTCGTTGGATACCAATTTTCGTGGATTTCGTTGGTACAGGTGAACCCCGAAATTAAATGTTTAACGAATGACAAATTTTCTATAGGCTTGTATGCAGACTTCGGCAAAACCAGGAAATTAAATATCCAGTAAGTTTTCCTTAATCCACGAAAATTGGTACCCACGAAAATAAATGAATCCACAGTAACCTCTATAGATCTCGGGCTTACTCAAGTACAAAGAGAGCCAACTAGATGCAATAACTTAATAGACCTTGTCTTCACAAATAATCCATCTTTACGTAAATCTTCAACTAGCATCCCTGGTATCTGATCATGCTAAGGTCGTCACAGACTTTGACTTAATCCCACACTATATCAAACAGTCAAAGTGTAAGAAATACATGTTCATTAAAGTTGATTGGGACTCGATCTACAAAGAAATGGAACAACTGTCAACATCCATGGAATCCCAAATCACCACTCCAGTTGAGGAACTATGTCCTTCACAATTATCAACAAACACACCCTGTCAAAGGTATGCTCATCCAGAAAATCACTGTCGTGGCTCAACAGAAATCTTAGCCAAAAACGCAAAATAAGACTTTATAAGCTCGCAAAGAAATCAAAACAGTGGAATGATTGCAAAAGCTTCCAGAAAAGGTGCAAAAAAGAATTCGAGAAAGCAGAGATAGACTACATTAACAACACTATTTACCAAGGTCTACAAGAAAACGACACAAACCCATTCTGGTGTAATGTTAAATCCAGACAACAGGAAAACATTGGTATACCAGCAATGAAACAGAATGGACAACAAAGAGAAGGCAAATATACTTCTAAACCAATTTGAATCGGTTTTTACAAAAGACACACTAAACGTTGACAAGAAAGTTGATCAGTCAATACCACCATTGACGATAACAACAGAGTCGAAAAACTTTTAAAGAACATAAAACCTTTTAAAGCCATTGGGCCAGACAACTTACCAAATATCGTCCTGAAAAACTGCTCTAAACAACTAGCACCTGAGCTGAGACACATCTTTCAGCAATCTGTAAACTCAGGCACCCTACCTACTAATTGGTTAAATGCGAACATCACTCCTGTATTTAGGAAAGGAAATATTGATACACCAGAAAACTATAGACCTGTTTCTCTTACCTGCGTTATCTGCAAGCTGCTTGAACATATTGTATGTAAGCATATCCTTAAACACCTAGAAAAGAACCATATACTCACACCACTCCAGTATGGTTTTTGTTCTGGTTTCTCCTGTAAAACCTAACTTTTAACAACTATGAACAATTTTATGACAAAGGCCACCAGACAGATATTGTGATACTGGATTTCTTTAAGGCCTTCGACGCGGTCCCACACAAAAGGCTGCTATCCAAACTCGAAAGTTATGGTATTTATGGACCAATTCTAAATTCGCACAACATCTTCCTTACAAAATGATCTATGCAAGTCCTGGTAGATGGCCAAAATTCTAACTCTGTAGGTACAAAACTGTATAGCATCAGGAGTACCTCTGGGCACAGTTCTTGGACCACTGCTTTTCCTGTGTCACATTAATGACTTACCTGAAACTGTCAAATCTTAAGTCAGATTGTTTGCCGATGATTGACTACTATATAGGATAGTCCAAACACAACAGGACCACCAACTACTACAAAACGACCTTGTATCATTGGAAAAATGGCCACAAAATGGGATATGAGATTAAATGCCAAAAATGTTACGTGTTGAGCATCAACAACAAATCATCTCATTTCTACAAACTAGACAACCACATCCTGCAACAGGTACAACAAAATCCATACCTCTGTGTTATTATTTCAGATGATCTGAAATGGGGCAGCCACATTGCTAAAACCGTGAAGAAAGCTTACTCCACTCTAGGCTTCTTGCGAAGAAACCTCTCACTGTCCAAAGGATTGCAGGAAACAAGACTACATGTATATAGGGCTTATCCGGTCACTGTTAGAATCCGCATCAATAGTATGGGACCCTTATTTAAACAAGGACATTAATGCATTAGAACACACCCAGAGACAAACAGTGCGTTTCATCAGTGGGAATTATACAAGCAAAGAGGAAGGTAGTTTAAGGACACAGGTACTTGACTCGCATTTTTGAAAAATGTCACCCGGTCGCTAAATTCCGTTATATTTCAATTTCTCTGTAGTCAACCCCACTAAAATTTGTTATGCCGTAAATTTAAATTTATTTATCTACACAATGATGTATAACACTCCTACCTTTGTTGTCGGAATCATTCGTAGCAGGCCTCCCCAAGTATGTCAACTGTAATTATTTCGTCTACCAACAGCCGATTGGAAATATAAGACTTCTTTTCAGAGACAAGTGCCTGTGTATAAGGAGACTTATGAACTAACTAAAACTTCCAACACTTGAAAACAAACGTTGTCACAGTAGACTAACTTTTCTCTACCAGGTCAAAACGTCAAATAAAATCAAAACAATTTAGTGACTATAAAACAACAAACATTGTAGACAAATTTGTAAAAAACATGCAACAGTCGGTGTTTCAAAAATTCACCTAGTAATTCTGACCAATATAAACAGTCATTCTTTGAAAGAACAATTTCCGATTTGAATAGACTACCAGACAATCTTCTGTGTGCTAAGACAATTGAGAGCTTTAAAACTTCGGTTGCTCTCACATTGTTGGACTAATTTTCCAGCCCCTCTCTTCCGTTGCCATTGATGCCATATACTGACCCTGCAACGTACTTATTCAGATTCAGATTCAGAATTAGTGTGGGAAACAATATAATGATAAGAAGATGTGGTATGATTGCCAACAAGATAACTTTCTACCAGAGACCAAATGATGTGGAAGTTAACAATTATAGGTGACCATACTTTGTATGGGTCTTTTTATGCCCCCGCCGTAGCGGAGGGGGCATTAAGTTTTACCCTTGTCCGTATGTACGTACCAAAATTGGTTTCCGTTCTATAACTTTAGTTTGCCTCAACCAAATGTTATGAAACTTATACACAATGCTTATTACCACAAAACACAGATCAAGTGTGAATTTTGGTGGCATCACTTTTACTGTCTAGAGTTATGCCTCTTTACAAATGGAAAAATTGCTGAATTTTTTGTTTCCGTTCTCTAATTTTAGTTTGCCTCAACCAAATGTTATGAAACTTATACACAATACTTATTACCACAAAACACGGGTCAAATTTGAATTTTGGTGGCGTCACTTTAACCGTTCTAGAGTTATGCCCCATTATAAATGGAAAAGTTGCAAAATTTTTATTTTCTTCTAAATATCAAGTAATTTTTAAATTGGAGTTATCTTCCTTTGTCCATGATTATAGTTGAATGAACTACAATCAATGCTTTATACAATGCAATGTTTAATTTTGACTTCCACTGATAAAACACAGATCAAGTTGAATTTGGGTAGTGTCACTTTAACAATTATTGAGTTATGCCCCTTTATAAATCGAAAGATTGCAAAATTTTTAGTTTCCATTCTGTAACTTAAGTTTGCCCCAACCAAACATTATGAAACCTATACACAATATTCATTACCACAAAACTAAGATCAAGTACAAATTTTTTGATTCCGTTTTCTAACTCAACCAAATATTATGAAACTTATACACAATGCTTATTACTACATAATACAGATTAAGTACGAAATTTGGTGGCAACACTTTTACCATTCTTGAGTTATGTCCCTTTATAAACATAAAAATTGCTGAATTTTTCGTTTCCGTTCTCTAACTTTAGTTTGTCTCAACCAAATGTTTTAAAACTTATACACAACCGTTCTAGAGTTATGCGTGTTTACAAATAGAAAAATTGCAGAATTTTTAGTTTCTGTTCTCTTCTTAAGTTAGCCTCAACCAAATGTTATGAGACTTACACACAATGCTTATTACCACAAAACTCAGATCAAGTTCAAATTTGGGTAGCGTCACTTTTACCGTTCTTCAGTTATGTCCCTTTATAACTATATGATATGCAAGCAGGGGCATTTTCTGTGTCCAAATGTGGACACTATCCACAAATATTTTTATATATCTTGACAGTTTTTGAAAGGGATGCAAAAACCTGAAACTATATCCAAATTTATATCTCAAAATATATAATTAACATTAACTGGATCTAGGAAATAGTTTGTTCAATGGTTTACGAAAGTTATTCTTTTGACCTGGTCAAAAGACCTTAGATCCCCACATGTCAAATTCTAAAACAAAGATTTACTGTAACTTGTAAAAATGTATTTTTGTATGGATTTTGAAATTACCCTTTTCTAAATTTTGAAAGGTCCTGAAGACAATGAGTTGACAGCCACACAGTCATTGATTCTAATCCAGACATTAAGACGACTAAAAGAAGCTGTGTCAAGATATGGACAGGAACACAAAGATCTTCACAGTACTGTCTCAAAAGTAGGAAAATCTGTGGACAGGGTAGGTTATACATGTGTTACAGACAAAGAGTACATCTTAATGTCATTGTGTCTAAAGTACATTTCTTAGGAAAATCTGTAGACATGAGAAAATTTTGAGATGTGTTACTTTTCTGTTAGAGCACAAAGATCTTCACAGTACTGTCTCAAAAGTAGGTAAATCTATAGACATCATAAGTTTCAAATGCTTTATGGTCAAGGTTTACCTGCTAAAACAATTGTAGATACATAAGTAGAAAGAGTGAGTTTAGAGTAAGTTTTAGATTCGTTAAGGAGTAACTTCCTAAAGCTGCTGTCTCTATTAAAGACAAGATACAAATGTATGCATCTTAATGCCGTTGTCTCAAAAAAGAAGGTCTATTTATAGGATAAGTTTAACTTCATTAATTCATTGTAGAAAACCTCTTTTGACAGTATAAGTAGTAGCTTTACATGATACAAGCTATAGGAAATAAAAAAATCAGTTTGAAATGTACGACTAGTCACCAAGCACTCTTTTCAAGTCTGTGTTTTCCAAACCTTGATAAAAATAAGCATGGAAACCAGGACTTACTTTGCCCCTCAAAAAGTTTATTGCAGATTTTATATCTTTATTGTACGATGTTTATGTATGTGATTTATTATTTGATAATGGTCTAAATTAAATATGGTATTGACAGTCACAAATAAGTATTATTATATCTATCATTGTCTATTGATGTTATTAAGATCAGTATATATATACAAAGCTGGTTAGCATCTGTAGAAGGGAGTGATTTAAATTAACGTCTGTTTTACTTATAAAGAAATTGTGTAATTACATATAAAATCTGCATGGTCAATCCGATCACATATTGTTACTTAAAAATATTACTTATTTTCTATAATGTATTTTATGTATTGCTCTCTACTGTTTATCATTTGTCATATTGTAAATATGTTTTTGTTGCTATAGCATAGTTAATTAATGCTTTCTGCAATAAAAATAAAGTATTCATTCATTCATATGATAAAACTTGATAAATGATCTTTTCCATGATTTTGGTATTCTTTTGGCTTTGAGTGTACATTCCTTAGTTGATTTCAATATGGGGCATGTTTGCAGTGACTTTACAGATTTAATAAACATAATGTTTTCATTACTAAAATACTATTATACTAAGGATAAAGAAACTGCTTGTTTTGTTTTTCTGTATTGAAAGCTGTACAGTTTGTTCTGGACATTGCACAATGTTTTAGATGTTTTTTTTTATTAAAATTTTCCTTTTACATACATGTACATTTTTGTCGTACAATATTTTTTAAAATTATGGTCAATTACATACAGACAAAGTCACATTAGGCTATCATTTAAGTTGTATGCACACTTACAAAAAAATGTAATTATCATGCTTTTTCCTTTGATTTCAGAACTTTGTAAATGACTTCTCATCAGTAATTGTTGATAGGGCATTTGAAGGTCAAGAGAAAGCTATGTTATTAAATGAAGTTGTATGTGAACATTTTATGAGACAAGGAATGCTAGATGTGGCAGATGCTATTGTTGAGGTATTTATTGATACATATTCCTTGAGTGAATATATCAAATCAGTTGTCACCACCTTAATTCTAATTCAAATCAAACACTGTACAGCTAATCAGCTCTAATATAGGTGGTGACAACTGATGACACCTGTACCCCTTTTTCAATTTCATTGCTAAACATACAGAAATTTTATTTGAAAAAGAATACATGTATATGCCTCTACTGCTATAATGTCTTTTTGGAAAATACTGAACAAAGAACAATAGTATGTTAGTGCATGCAATGCTACCAATAGTCTAAAAAAGATATATCATAAGGATAGAAATATTTTAAGTTAATATTATTAAGTGCCAAATAGGGTGTCGTCCAATACACCTCAATGGATATATTTATCACTTATTCAAGGTTCTTTGGACTAAATAGGTAGTGATCACCATAATTTTCATAAGAAATAAACAGCAGCATCCCATAGAAGTAAACAAGTCCTTGTTATCATTCAGAATTAAAACTGCTATAAAACTTAAAGTTTTTTGTCGAACACCAGCATAACTAAACAGTACCCAAATTGCACAGAGTACCCAATTTACACCCATTTTACATATACATGTATTAATAACTTGACTGAAAATCTTATAGGTTATCTTAGAGATTAAACTTTGCAATGTTATCATTTATCATTATGCACATCTTTCAACATAAGTAAATATTCTTAAAGATACACAAAACGGTCACATATAATATATCAACAGATGAAGTGTCCAGTGAAAAAGTAGAATCAACGAAAACATTGCATGCGACAACTAAAAATAGTCAACTTTTGAAAATGAGAAATTAAAATATGTCACAGACATCCGTTTCATATAAAGTACATAACAAGCATAGACTATTGTAAAATGGTAAAAAAAATGTGGAGGAAAGAAAATAAAACATCAATTATTTGATTTTTATACGGACGCAAAAAAAAATTTTGTGGTCGTATATTGGTATGAAGTTGGCGTTGTCGTTGTCGTCGTCGTCCGAAGACACATTGGTTTTCGCACTCTAACTTTAGTTTAAGTGAATGGATCTCTATGAAATTTTACCACAAGGTTCAATACCACAAAAGGAAGGTTGGGATTGATTTTGGGGGTTATGGTACCAACAGTAAAGGAATTAGGGACCAAAAAGGGGCCAAAAATACGCATTTTTGTAACTTCCAGACATAACTTGTGTGTTAGTGTATGGATCTCTCTGACATTGTACCACAAGGTTCCATATCACAAATGGAATGCTGGGATTGATTTTGGGGGTAATTGCCTCAAAATTTTAGGAATTAGGGGCCAAAAAAGGGGCAAAAAACAAGCATTTTTCTAGTTTCATGACAATAACTTGTGTAAGTGTATGGATCTTTCTGAAATTGTACTACAAGGTTCCATATTACAAAGGGAAAGCTGTAATTGAGTTTGGGGGTAATTGCCTAAACGTTTAGGAGTTGGGGGCCAAAAAGGGGCAAAAAATAAGCATGTTTCTAGTTTCCAGACAATAACTTGTGTTCAAGTGTATGGATCTCTCTGAAATTGTACTGCAAGGTACCATACCACAAAGGGAAGGCTGGGATTGATGATGGGGGTAATTGCCTCAATATTTTAGGAATAAGGGGCCAAAAAGGGGCAAAAAACAAGCATTTTTCTAGTTTCAGGACAATAACTTTTGTGTAAGTGTATGGATCTTTCTGAAATTGTACTACATGGTTCCATATCACAAAGGGAAAGCTGGGTTTGAGTTTAGGGGTAATTGCCTTAAACGTTTAGGAATTTGGGGCCAAAAAGGGGCCAAAAAACACATTTTTCTAGTTTCCAGACAATAACTTGTGTTCAAGTGTATGGATCTCTCTGAAATTGTACTGCAAGGTACCATACCACAAAGGGAAGGCTGGGATTGAGTTTGGGGGTGATGAATCATAAGGGGGTTCAAAAAATTTGGGGGGGGATTTTTTTTTTTTTTCCTTTTTTTTTTCTTTTAAAATTTTCCATTTTAAGTTGGTTATTTCTGATTTATATTTAAAAGCAAATAATAATGATATGGTAGGAGATACACACCAAACAGGATGTGTAAATAATTATATAATAAGTATTGTGCAATAGCAAGAAATTTTCAATTGCACAGTATTGCACAATAGCAAGAAATCTTCAATTGCACAGTATTGCGCAATAGCAAGAAATTTTCAATTGCACAGTATTGCGCAATAGCACAGTATTGCGCAATAGCAAGAAATATTTAATTGCACAGTATTGTGCAAAAGAAGATACTTGGTATAAATTGCTTATTTCTTGACCAATTTCAATGGGGTTTTATTCTTGAATTCTTGTGGTTCTTTAATATGCTGAATCTAACCGTGTTATTAGTTTTTGGATTTTGGGCCCTGTTTTTAAATTGGTCCACATTGAGGTCCAAAGGGTCCAAAATTAAACTTTGTTTGATTTCATCAAAAATTGAATTATTGGGGTTCTTTGATATGCCGAATCTAACCGTGTATTTAGATTCTTAATTTTTGGTTCCGTTTTCAAATTGGTCTACATTAAGGTCCAAAGGGTCCGAAATTAAACTTAGTTTGATTTTAACAAAAATTGAATTCTTAGGGTTCTTTGATATGCTGAATCTAAACATGTATTTAGATTTTTGATTATGGGCCCAGTTTTCAAGTTGGTCCAAATCGGGGTTTAAAATTAAACTTTGTTTGATTTCAACAAAAATTGAATATATGGGGTTCTTTGATATGCTGAATCTAACCATGTATTTAGATTTTTGATTTTTGGGCCCCGTTATCAACTTTGTCCACATTGAGGTCAAAAGGGTCCAAAATTAAACTTTGTTTGATTTCATCAAAAATTGAATTCTTGGGGTTCTTTGATATGCTGAATCTAACCATGTATTTAGATTTTGGATATTGGACCATAATAGGTGAATGTCCAATTTATAATTTTTAAGTTCTTTCTGTGTCAGAAACCTATGCTGTGTCAAATATTTAATCACAATCCAAATGCAAAGCTGTATCAAGCTTGAATGTTGTGTCCATACTTGCCCCAACTGTTCAGGGTTCAACCTCTGCGGTCGTATCAAGCTGCGCCCTGCGGAGCATTTTATCTGATGTGTAGCTAGTTAAGCATGGGTGCAATTTAGGTACTCCTCATTAAAGAAACTTGGATCATTTGGTTTGACTCAGTATGAATTCAAAAATAGATTTGTGGAACAAAATAGGAAAGAAGAATACATCTACAAAATAAAAGTTGAAATGTTTGTCTGTTTCTTAAATAAATGAAGGTGAAAAAAACTGTCAAAATAGGTGCAAATTGGGTACCTTCATGTTAGAGTTGTTAATTTCTCTTAAATCCTATGCTATCTTATGTTAATACAATGCACATGGTTTCCCACCTCAAATTTTACAAATGAAGTGCAGAAGTTATTAAATTGTGGGTGCTTTAATTTTTCACCATGTCAAAAATAACTTGATACAGATTAAAAAAGTAAAATAACAAAAATACCGAACTCCAAGGAAAATTGAAAACAGAAAGTACTTTATCAAATGGCAAAGTATTCCCCATACTTTTTTTTTAACAGCATTTCAAAACATAGTTTCTCATACTAATGAAAGATATTTTGACTTTCAATACGAATCTGTATCTTGTATTTTGAGTTTAATTTTTAAATAGGATGCAGACCTAGCCATTGCTGAAGATAAGAAAGAACCATTTATGGAATTGCACAGAATACTTGGTGCCTTAAGAATGAATGATCTTGATCCAGCATTATGGTAAGGCCATAAAAGGAATGTATAAAAAAAGTTTATTTGATAAGAGCAATAAAACGGTTTATGAAAAAGTACAATTGTCATTTAATTGTGAAATAAATGATCTGACAAGTATTTTAGAATTAAAAGATAGTTATTATGGGATATCTATATTTAACAAAATAGTGGAAATAAGCCAAAATAAAATATATTTGCTGTGGCAACATTTATGTCAGTTAATGTTATTCTGTAGATATACTAGTTCAGTTTGAATTAAAATAAAGGCAAATATAGAATAAAAAAAAAAGAAAAACTTCCATGAAAAGAGAGATTCCAGTTAAAATTATTTCAGAAAGCAGGATAAAAAACTTTATGAAAAGTAAAGAGTTAATATCTCCACCTATATGTTTTCTGTTGCCATATTTCATAATTTTGTTTGACTTTTTATTAACTTTTTTTTATTTAAAAAAAATGAATTCAGATTGTTTAAATTTTTATGTGAACTTTTCTATTTCAGTTGGGCACATACCCATGCAGTTAAATTGAGAGAAATGAACAGTTCATTGGAATTTAAGCTGCACAGATTAAAGTTTATAAACTTAATCAAAGAAGGACCTTCAGCACAACTAGCTGCACTTTATTATTCAAAAAATTTTGAAAAATTTGCAGATCAGCATGCTAGAGGTATTTTTATAACACATATCTAATCTATTTGTGCAGGTTTTAACATAATAGTAGTGAAAAATATTATGGAGGAAACTTATTACAGAATTTTGATATAAGATACAAGATACTATTATACTTTTTGCAAATTAAAAATTTTGTCTGACACTGCACTTGTTTTTTGCTAGTAACAAAATAGATACATTTTTGTGGTCAAATATAAAATATCTGTGTTATGTCCCCTCATAATTTTTTTTTTTTTTTCTGTTTATATAAAAAAAAATATTAGAATAAGATAAAATGATATAATTGTCTTTATCTAGAATTAAACTAGTTGTAATAAGTTGCATTTCTATATTACAATTTGCCTCTCTCTCTGAAAATATATAATGATCATTTGCAATTCAAGTTGCATTATATGTGTATTGATAACGAGCTTTGTTTGTCAAAAATGAAACCTTTGGTTTAAATGCTAATTTCAAATGATGGACATTAAAAAGAGAAAAGTAAAATTTTGGGGATGTTATGCAGACTTTTTGTGTTTTCCCTTATATGTTTCATAGTCAAACTTGTTGAAACTTTTGCTTACCCATATGTCTGTAACACTGATATAAACTGTTAAGACCAACCCAAAATCTGAGAATTAATGCAGATACTTTATATTAAAGAATTTAAAGTTATTGTATAGTGAATTTGCCAATTGGGGATCTGATTAGTATTTTTACAAACCTGCCATTTGTTTTTGTTGGCAGTACATGTCAACATTTGTTGATGTATGAACAAAAAAAGGTCTATAATTTGTTTAAAATTATACAATTTTGAACACATACTTGTTACTTTTCATGATCCAATTTTTCTTATTTTCCTAAGGACCAATATTCTTTAAGAATTAATATATTAGATGTCTATCTATCATATTCTGCTTCCCTAAATCTTTGCTTGGACATTGGTTCTTGATTACACTTACTAGTCAATCCTCAAGATTAACAACCCTGCTACTTATATTACAGATATTCAGATTTTGATGGGAAGTTTGTTATTTCTCAGACATGGAATACAGAATTCATCATATAGCCATCTTCTCTCTTCCATATACTGGGATGAAATCTGTGATATTTTTACAAGAGATGCATGTACCTTGATGGGCATGTCCATGGAGAGTCCATTAAGTGTCAGGTAAGATTCTGAAAAATCCAGGTGTTTTCAGAGATTATAGTAGGAGGCATTGGTTTTGATTCCCTGCTGCTTCAAAACAAACACATATTTTTTATTGTCTGCTTCTCCACTAAGCAGGCAGCATTTATTGTAAAATAGCAAAAACAGGTTGGCTCAGAATCAATGTAATTTCTGTGGATAGGGAGATATATCTTCTGGCATTTTGATACTTTGTCATCTAGCATATTAAAATTTCAACTCGACAGAGCAAGGGTATGTTCCTTTGATCATCCTTCAAAAGCATGTAATATTTGCTGAATGACTAATTAACCAATCTTAATTTATATGTGAAATTATAGATATTTATTCACCCTTTTCTGAATAGTGAATCATATTTATAGAAAAGGATGATTAGATAAAGAATCAGTAAAGTTATTTTAGTATCCACTGTCTTAATGTCAAAGTGTCTATTAATTTTTAGTAGTTAGGAGCACACCCAAACTGTCATTAATCAACTGCCCTGTGTTTCAAAATATTGGAAAGTATAGTTTCTGAACAAGGACATCTCTTAGAGAAGGCTTTATGACATTGCATTTACAAGTATGATTTAAATTGCAGTTTGAAAATGAATGACAATTTTCAGATTTACATTCAAAGTCTCAGTCCTATGTAGTCCCAGTATTTACATAATTTTAGTTTCAGTAAAAAATATTTAGAAAACTGATTATAATGATTAATTTGATGTATTTCAGTATTCTTTAAAGCAGGCTGATTTTAATGATTAATTTGATGTATTTCAGTATTAAAGCACTGATTATAATGATTAATTTGAGGTGTTTCAGTATTAAAGCACATGTTTATAATGATTAATTTGATATATTTCAGTATTTAAGCAGGTTGATTATAATGATGAATTTGATGTATTTCAGTATTAGAGCAGGTTGATTATAATGATGAATTTGATGTATTTCAGTATTTAAACAGGTTGATTATAATGATTAATTTGATGTATTTCAGTATTAAAGCAGGTTGATTATAATGATTAATTTGATGTATTTCAGTATTAAGGCAGGTTGATTGTAATGATTAATTTGATGTATTTCAGTGATTGTAATGATTAATTTGATGTATTTCAGTGATTATAATGATTAATTTGATGTATTTCAGTATTAAAGCAGGTTGATTATAATGATGATTTTGATGTTTGATTTTGATGTATTTCTGTATTAGAGCAGGTTGATTAGTATGATGATTTTGATTTTTGATTTTGATGTATTTCAGTATTAAGGGGGCTCGAGGGTATAAATCCATTTTTTTTTAAATATAGGATTTCGCTATTTTTATTCTATAAATGAACTTTATCATATACTTAATAGAAAAATAAAATAAAAAAGTAGGGTCACCTTTCATTTAAGCTCACAATCTGCCTCCGAAAGAAGCATACATTTTTGTTAAGGTACTTTTTTTCTGTTGAACTAATAGGAAAAATAGAGGTAATATTGAAATCAAAAAAGAACTAAATTACAGAAATCGCTTAAATTTTATAATTTATTAGTTTAAGTACAGCTTTTCTGAAAAAAAATGATAAAAAATATAGGTCGCCAATGAGTTAAAAAAGATATTTCAATTTTAATGCCCAAAAATGGCATTTTTTGCACCTAAGGGAGATAATTTAGAGCTTTTTATACGACCGCAAAAATTAAAAAATTTTTGGCCGTATATTGGTATGATGTTGGCGTCGTCGTTGTCGTCGTCGTCCGGCGTTGTCATCCGAAGACACATTGGTTTTCACACTCTAACTTTAAGTGAATGGATCTCTATGAAATTTTACCATAAGGTTCAATACCACAAAAGGAAGGTTGGGATTGATTTTGGGGGTTATGGTAACAGTTAAGGAATTAGAGGCCAAAAAGGGGCCAAAAATAAGCATTTTTGTAACTTCCAGACATAACTTGTGTGTTATTTATGGATCTCTCTGACATTGTACCACAAGGCTCCATATCACAAAGGGAATGCTGGGATTGATTTTGGGGGTAATTGCCTCAAAATTTTAGGAATTAGGGGCCAAAAAAGGGGCAAAAAACAAGCATTTTTCTAGTTTCATGATAATAACTTGTGTGTAAGTGTATGGATCTTTCTGAAATTGTACTACAAGGTTCCATATCACAAAGGGAAAGCTGGAATTGAGTTTGGGGGTAATTGCCTAAAACGTTTAGGAATAAGGGGCCAAAAATAAGCATTTTTGTCGAGCTTGCGAAAGCTCGACATAGGGATAGTGATCCGGCGGCGGCGGCGTTAGCTAACTTCTTAAAAGCTTTATATTTTAGAAGGTGGAAGATCTGTATGCTTCAAACTTTGTATATGGATGCCTCATGTTACGAAGTTTCCGTCAGTCACATGTCCAATGTCCTTGACCTCATTTTCATGGTTCAGTGACTACTTGAAAAAAAGTTAAGATTTTTTGTAATGTTAAATTCTTTCTTATTATAAGTAATAGGATAACTATATTTGGTATGTGCTTACCTTGCAAGGTCCTCATGCCCGTCAGACAGTTTTCACTTGACCTCGACCTCATTTCATGGATCAGTTAACAAGGTTAAGTTTTGGTGGTCAAGTCCATATCTCAGATACTATAAGCAATAGGTCTTGTATATTCGGTGTATGGAAGGACTGTAAGGTGTACATGTCCAACTGGCAGGTGTCATCTGACCTTGACCTCATTTTCATGGTTCAGTGGTTATAGTTAAGTTTTTGTGTTTTGGTCTGTTTTTCTTATACTGTATGCAATAGGTCTACTATATTTGGTGTATGGAATGATTGTAAGGTGTACATGTCTAGCTGGCAGGTGTCATATGACCTTGACCTCGTTTTCATGGTTCAGTGGTCAAAGTTCAGTTTTTGAGTTTTGGTCTTTTTTTCTAATACTATATGCAATAGGTCAACTATATTTGGTGTATGGAAATATTTTATGATCTATATGTCAGTCGCGCAGGTTTTATATGACCTTGACCTCATTTTCACGGTTCATTGCTCAGTGTTAAGTTTTTGTGTTTTGGTCTGCTTTTCTTAAACTATAAGCAATAGGTCAACTATATTTGTTATATGGAAGAATTGTTAACTGTACATGTCTGCCTGGCATGGTTCATCTGACCTTGACCTCATTTTCATGGTTCATTGGTCAATGTTTAGTTTTCTTGGTTAATGTTAAGTTTATGTGACAGTTGTAATAAAGCTTTATATTTAGGACTATCAACATAATATCAATGATTAGTAAAGAAGGCGAGACATTTCAGTGTGTGCACTCTTGTTCTAGTTTCCATACAATTACTTGTGTTCAAGTGTATGGATCTCTCTGAAATTGTACTGCAATGTACCATACCACAAAGGGAAGGCTGGGATTGATTTTGGGGATAATTGCCTCAAAATGTTAGGAATTAGGGGCCAAAAAAGGGACAAAAAAACAAGCATTTTTCTAGTTTCAGGACAATAACTTGTGTGTAAGTATATGGATCTTTATGAAATTGTACTATAAGGTTCCATATCACAAAGGGAAAGCTGGGTTTGAGTTTGGGGGTAATTGCCCTAAACGTTTAGGAATTTGGGGCCAAAAAGGGGCCTAAAAACAAGCATTTTTCTAGTTTCCAGACAATAACCTGTGTTCAAGTGTATGGATCTCTCTGAAATTTTACTGCAAGGTACCATACTACAAAGGGAAGGCTGGGATTGAGTTTGGGAGTGATGAATCATAAGGGGGTTCAAAAAATTTGGGGGAGGGATTTTTTTTTTCTTTAAAATTTTCCATTTTAAATTGGTTATTTCTGATTTATATATTAAAGCAAATAATAATATGGTTTGAATAGGTAAATTAAAATTTTTTAAGTTCTTAGACCACATTCATTCTGTGTCAGAAACCTATGCTGTGTCAAATATTTAATCACAATCCAAATTCAGTGCTGTATCAAGCTTGAATGTTGTGTCCATACTTGCCCCAACTGTTCAGGGTTCAACCTCTGCGGTTGTATCAAGCTGCGCCCAGGTGAGCATTTTATTCAATGATATAAACATTTTAAAAGTCATCTGTGGCCAAAACGAATTGATTTTTTTGGGTTGATTTTTTTAACAACTAATAGTGTAATCAATAAAATTTATAATGAAAAAAAAATGTTTAAATTTTGCTGAAATTTTTGTACCCGCGAGCCTCCTTATAGCAGGTTGATTATAATGATGAATTTGATGTATTTCAGTATTAGAGCAGGTTGATTATAATGATGAATTTGCTATACTTCAGTATTAAAGCAGGTTGATTATAATGATTAATTTGATGTATTTCAGTATTACAGCAGGTTGATTATAATGATGATTTTGATGTTTGATTTTGATGTATTTCAGTATTAAAGCAGGTTGATTATAATGATTACTTTACTGTATTTCAGTTTTAAAGCAGGTTAATTATAATGATTAATTTGATGTATTTCAGTGATTATAATGATTAATTTGATGTATTTCAGTGATTAAAATGATTAATTTGATGTATTTCAGTATTAAAGCAGGTTGATTATAAAGATTAATTTGATGTATTTCAGTGATTATAATGATTAATTAGCTGTATTTCAGTGATTATAATGATTACTTTGATGTATTTCAGTATTAAAGCTGGTTGTATTGCTCTGCCACCATTACTGAATATAAAACAGGTGATGCAGCAAAGACAAGTGTCAGGAGTATGGAGTAATAAAGATGAACTGCCGGTTTGTAGATATAATGACTAAATCTATACCTGAAAGAAAAAAGAAATAAAAAAAAACAAGTTCTATATGGTACTGTAGTTAATTTGATTGTGTAGTAAATCTATTTTATCTGGAACCACAAAGTTAGCTTTTTTACTGATCCAGTGTTTTCTCAAGGTCAATAAATTTGAGTGTCATTAATAATTTTACATTCCAATTTTAGGGGCAATTTAAAACATGAAGGATGCATATAGCACGTACCACACATTTTTGTTATTCTCTATTGAATTTGAATTTTTTAAAAAAGAACAAGAAGAGAAAAAAGAAGAGAATATGTTTTTATACAGGTCACAACAAGGAATCAATAACTTAATTAGGGTTATTTGATTATTTTTGTGCATGAACAATGTAGAAGTATTTTTGAGAAAATAGAACTGAACTTTTTTTCATATTTATCTTCAAACTAGCTTGATATATTTTGTATTGATAGGTTGAGATAGATTTGGGAACTGATTTCCGATACCATTCCGTATTTGCCTGTCCAATTCTTCGCCAACAGAGTACAGATACCAATCCGCCAATGAGACTAATATGTGGTCATGTGATATCAAAAGATGCTTTAACTAAACTCTCCAGTGGTTCTAAGTAAGTACTTCCAGGATTTGTGACTTTCCATTGTTTCTTAGTTTGTAAATCCTGAATGATACATTATGTTCCTTGACTTACAAGTGGTTCTAATTAAGTACATTCTGAATGATACATTCTGTTGTATGACCATCTTTAGTGGTTCAAAGTAAGTAAATCTTGAAGGATTTTTTCTGTTCTGTGCATATATGAGAATTTTGTTTGCAGTTGGTGTTTTAGGTGTATTATCAAATTGACATTTACAAAGTAATATCTGTATAAACCCATTAAAATAAATTGCTATGTTCAGTTTAGTTATGTCAAGTATTACATTTTCAAATAAAAAAAATCACTTTATTTTCTTGGAACTTTTAATTATAATTTACATGTCCAGGCATTTCAGTTGTGATGTGACTAGAATATAATCATTGAAGAATCTGTTTAGAGGTTGTGTGCCATGGTTTATTTAACTTGTTTTCATTGAAACATTTTTATACTTTATTGGAATGCATTTTTTTTACTGATAAAACTTTGTTTTCTTAGTTATCATAGTTATTCAACTTTTATATTCTGGATTAAGTATCAGTAAAAACATACTGTGCAAGAATGGAACATTGCTTACTTCCCCTTGAATGGCTTTTCTTGTATGACATCATATATATGCCTCATATAATAATTTACTGTTTTTAAGAAAAGAAGGTGAACGCTTTTCTAAATATATTAGAGTATATGAATCTATGAAAACAAAGACTTTATTTTATTACAAGGAACACATCACTTACAATTGATTTGTATAAATGTTTTAATCAGATAAAAGAGAAAGTGTGTAAACAACTAGAGAGGAAGTAATATACAATTTTAATAATAAATTTCAGGGTGAAATGTCCTTACTGTCCTGTGGAACAATCACCTTCAGATGCCAGACAAGTTCATTTCTAGTCACTGTCTGTGCTTCATTGGCAACCAATAAAGACTTAATCATTACATAAAGTGAAATTCAGGAAGTATGGACAGAACTGACAGAGACCTACAGTCACACCATTTTTGTTGAAGCATGATAAACATAATGAATATTTATGAGTTGTATCTGCTGAACAGACATACAATACGTATCATGTTTACAGACTTTCCTATTGGACTCTCTATCATTTTTGTCCAGTACTTTAAATGCAAGAGTAAATAGTGGATGCCTAGAAATAACAATACTTGTCCTCAACTAGCTTTGAATTTAGCACAATATTACAAGAAATAATCCCCTGTAGACATTCAGGAAGGAGAAATGTTATTTCATCAAAATACAATCTTGATATATTTATTACATATTGTAATTATTGTATTTGGAATTATTTGTTAATTTATATTCAACAAGCAATGTGTTTCTTGTTGTAAATATTTTTTGAATTCTGTATATGACATTAAACACATTCAAGACAATTTATAAAACTTAAACTCTTGAACTTGCACAGGGATCTTCCAAATTTTCATAAAATTTGTTGCAGAAACTAAGATAAATTATGGCACTCTATTGTTTATATCATGTTAGACATTATAGAATGACAGTTTTAAAAACCATCAGCAGTTCTGGAGGTTAACTTTTAGGAAAAATAGACTACTTAAAATTCATATATCCGTATTTCCTTGTATATAATGGTTGGATTAAATGTTACAACATTGTATTTTTCTTAAGTCACATGACTTGTTTATTGAACACATGACATTATTTTACCTTTTTCAAAGTGTAGTTTTTCCTTCTTCATTAAGAAAAATGCCATCTTATTTCTGTTAATTATGAAAATGTTCATTTTTTACTCCAGTTGCATGTCTAAGGTCATGCAGTTTTCTCATAAGCATTTGTGTATTTTTTTTTTTAATAAAAAACTTTTTATTTTATAGGGGACGATTTTCAGTGCAGATATTAATTAAGGCACAGCCAAGAATTTTTATTTTGATTAAGTAAACATGAGTTATATTTTCATGATTTTTACACGTTTGAATAGGCAGTTTAACTGGAACAATTTTCCACCATAAACCAGTTATCACTGTTTTGGAATTAGCTTTTTCTGTGCAACATAACATCATCCTGTGTTAATATCAGACGACCTTGGTTATATATTTAAAGTTAGATTTATTTGATTCAGTGTGGTTCCGATATCAACTTTCCTCCGATTTTATTGACAACGGAATGTTAACATCCTACAGAGCTTGAAATAATTATGTTATTTATTAATTTCTATCATTATTCACATGTGGTCTTCACATAACATATTATGCAAAAACACTACATTTGGTAGTGACCTATACTTCACTGCTAAAACGGGGAAGTCTGAGATCTTAACTTTTATTTACCTGTCTATATAATTTGCTTTTACATATTCTTTTTGTTAAAAAATATTCAAGAAAAACAGTTAAATTCTGACAGCAACTAGTCATCATGCAATTCAGCAAATTGTAAATAAAAATGGCATGGTTTCAATTAAAGTGTTTTGTTTGTTTGGCTTTGTAAGATGTCATAGTTATAGTATACTGACTGCTTCCACCGTAGTTTGACCTATTATCCATCAATGATTTACTATGGCTTGTGAATCACCATCAGTGTGATCCATTATTCATCAATTATTTACCATAGCTTGTGAATCACCATAATGTGATCCATTATCCATCAATTATTTACCATGGCTTGTGAATCACCATCAGTGTGATCCATTATTCATCAATTATTTACCATAGCTTGTGAATCACCATAATGTAATCCATTATCCATCAATGATTTACCATGGCTTGTGAAACACCATAGTGTGATCCATTATTCATCAATGATTTACCATAGCTTGTGAATCACCATAGTGTGATCGATTATCCATCAGTGATTTACTATGGCTTGTGAATCACCATCAGTGTGATCCATTATTCATCAATTACTTACCATAGCTTGTGAATCACCATAGTGTGATCTATTATCCATCAATGATTTACCATGGCTTGTGAATCACCATAGTGTGATCCATTATCCATAAATGATTTACAATGGCTTGTGAATCACCATCAGTGTGATCCATTATCCTACAATGATTTAACATGGCTTGTGAATCACCATAGTGTGATCCATAATCCATCAATGAAATACTATGGCTCATGAATCCTTTTTTACATAATTCAGATCAATCACCACAATGCAACATTTTTAATCAGGGACTGGCAGAAAAAAATATATACAATTTTGTTATGATGTGTATTTTGTTTTTTATTTATTGACAAAAACAAACAATATATAGTTGTGAACATATTTGAATAAACCTGTCCTTAAAGTATATGTGTTTATTTATATCATGTGGATTATTGATGCATATCATGAAAGTACTTACAATGAAATCTGCCATTTGTATGGTTTCAGAGCATTTGTTTTTAAAAAAAATATTTATGTAGCTGTCTCATTGCCAAATATTGGTAAATTTACAATTCTAGCCAAAATTTTGGGAATTACAGAGGCTACTTAAACCAATTTTTTGATAATATGAAATATTGAGAGCATAAAACTTCTAGAGTTTCTAAACAATACAGCTAAATTATTTAGTTATATAGACCTCTTTGCTTAATGGGGACTGTAGGAGAGGATATAGACTTTAGTTGATTTGTTAAGGTTCATCTATACACTTTTACAAAAATGGCTGTGTTTACACCATGAAATTTTCTCTGAGTACAGACAAAACTGTGTAATTATAAAAGTTTTAATGCCTGGCAGCACCTAGATAAATTAATGTTACATCCAAAGTATGTTCTAAACAGTTAAAACACTTTATGGATTTTGATGAACATTTTCTTTCCTTGCCACAGAAGATGGTGAAATAAACAAACACCTGAGTTTTCTTTGATACAGTCCACTCATTAACACTATTTAAATCACCTTTGTTATGAGTAGATTAATTTTGTCTCTCTATTGTCCATATCAATCGATATGATACAATGCAATCATTACCTGAGGGTGGCCATCTCAAAGATTTCACATGACTTTGTTTATTTTTACACCACCTGTGGCAAGGAAAGAAAATGTTTAGCAAAATCCACAAAAGTTTTTTTCTTTTTAAAACACAAAATGAATACAACTTGTATATATCTAGGTGCTGTCAGGATTTAAAACTATTAGAATTACACAGTTTTGTCTGCATTCAGAGAGATTTCATGGTGTAAACACAGCCATTTATTGTGGAAGTGTATAGATGAACCTTTATTTCAATAAAATTTATCTAATAATTTTGAATTAAGGGAAGATGATATCCTCAAGGATACACTGAATTTTCTCAAAGTTTGTTAGAAGTCAAAGAAGTTTTGACAGGGTAATCTATTATTTTCCAAACAGTCTTTATGCAATGCAATGCAAATAAGGCTGAAATAGTCAATTTGACCGGCAGTCTGTTCTATGTGAATAACTCTCCCAACAGCAGTTACATGGACTAAATGATGTTAAATAAGACTTCTGGTATTACTCATACACAAACATAATACCAAAAGCATTGTGACAACAGAAATGTACGGGGAAGATGCTTGAATTTGAAAGTTATCTATTCATTTTTACATTGATTTACTCATGCTAATGAATTAGAGACTTCATATCCTTATATCAATATTAGATATGCATGTTATATAATATGAAATATTGGACATTGTTAAATGTTGTCTTCAAGACAGTTCAGGTCTAATTGGACTTGGGGATAGTATATCAGGTGCAGTAGTTGTAACTGGTTCTTCTTTATGCTGTGTTATTTTCTCACACCAAGCTTTTGGACTGAAATATTGAAGACCATAATATGCAATGGTGAATTTCACTATTCCTTTCCCACGTCTAACTGGCTCAAGGTTAACTATTTTATATGACATTCCATTGAATATCCTTCCAAGGGAAAGATAATCCTTGGACTGAAAAATAGCAAATACAAATGTAATTAGAAATAATTAGAGTAATATAGAAGTAGTATACATTTTATGGAAAACTTTATATGGTTTCAATTGACTCTGCACAAGTTCTTATTTTATTTCATGATTTATGGGCTTGTTGTATGGAATTTTGTAGTGTGTGTCTGCTGAAATTTGAGTGTGAAAAGGGCATTGTTTATAAGTTACCAGGTGCCGAACTTTCAACTATAAATCATTTTTTAAAAATGATGAAAATGCTTTCATTAGCTCACCAGGGTCACCTAGCCAACAACACACTGCCAGCTAATATCGCAGGCATGGCTGAAAATAAAACATAGGGTAAAAGGCATGTTTGTCTGTTTTCTTGAAAACCATTAAAGATTGAGAAAACCTGACATGGCAGAAGTTTCAGAATGTCAAGATAACCCCCTTTTTTTTTGGTGGGGTTCGTGTTGCTCAGTCTTTGGTTTTCTATGTTGTGTTTTGTGTACTGTTGTTTGTTTGTAATTTTCATTTTAGCCATGGTGTTGTCAGTTTATTTTAGACTTATGAGTTTGAATGTCCTTTTGGTATCCTTTGCCTCTCTCCTCAATCTACTGTTCATTTTGTCATACAACTCCTTATAGGAGTTATTGCCCTTAATTGACGATTTTTATAAAATTTTGAAATTATAGGCTATATTTTGAAAATGATAAATGATAGAGAAAACTTTAATAGCAAAAATGATCATCAAGTCAAGATCTACAAATATGTCAAATGGTGGAAATGTCTAAAAAATGATAACAGATAGAGAGAAACTTAAAAAAGTGAAAGCGATTAGCTGGGCAAGATCTACAAATATATCAACATAGAAGATATTGTCAGTTATTGCCTTTTATTTATGCATTTTTAATCCTTTTTGAACTTTGGCAAAAACGATAGTTAATTAAGAAAATCTGTAAAATCAAATTGATAAGCAAGACAAGATCTACAAATCAGTCAACAAGGCTGAAATTGTCAATCCATTTCTTTCTTCCAGTTATTACCCTTGAATGAACATTTTTACCATTTTTTTGTGCTTTGGGTTAAAAATATAGTAGATAGAGATAAACTATGGAGGAAAACTTTAAAGCCATACATAATCAACAAAAAAGTCATGAAAAAAATTCTAGTCTACAATGCTGGAGAGTGGCCATTAATGAAAATGCATGTATATTCAGGTGGGTGACACAGTCTCTTTAGACCTTGTAGTTTTATGTTTTGTCCTTGTACATACAGTTAGTTACAGGCATTGTTGAATTAATTGCTTTTTGTCGAGCCTTCGACTTTAGTCGAAAAAGCGAGACATAGCGATCCTACATTCCGTCGGCGTCGTCGTCGTCGGCGGCGTCCACAAATATTCACTCTGTGGTTAAAGTTTTTGAAATTTTAATAACTTTCTTAAACTATCCTGGATTTCTACCAAACTTGGATAGAAGCTTGTTTATGATCATAAGATAGTATCCAGAAGTAAATTTTGTAAAAATAAAATTCCATTTTTTCCGTATTTTACTTATAAATGGACTTAGTTTTTCTGCCGGGAAATATTACATTCACTCTGTGGTTAAAGTTTTTAAAATTTTAATAACTTTCTTAAACTATCCTGGGTTTGTACCAAACTTGGACAGAAGCTTGTTTATGATCATAAGATAGTATTCAGAAGTAAATTTTGTAAAAAAATAAATCCATTTACTTTACTAGCAGAAAGACTAAAAATAGTCCTTCCAATGCTTATTCATCCCGACCAAAAAGGGTTTGTAAAAGGCAGACATATAACGGAAGCGAATAGAATGATACAGGATATCATAGAATATATTGATGATGAAGATGAAGAGGGTATAATTGTCTTTTTAGACCAACAAAAGGCCTTTGATAGGATGGAATGGGGATGGCTAGACTTCGTTATGAAGGAATTTAATTTTGGAGACAATTTCCGTGGTTGGGTTCAAATGCTATTAAAACGTGCAAAGACGTGTATCAAAACAAATGGGTACGTCTCAAAATATTTTTCAATTTCTAGATCAGCCAGGCAGGGGTGTCCTATAGCCCCTTTTTTATATATATTACAGGCAGAGCCCTTGGCCTGTGCAATAAGGGCAGAAAAAGACATTCAAGGCATTTTATTGCCTGGGGAAGAAAATGGGGAGCTACTAGAAACCAAATTGAATATGTTTGCAGACGACACACAATTATTTAATAAAAATGAAATTTCTGTTAGAAAATCTTTTGAAATATTAGACAAATATGAAAAGGCATCGGGTTCTAAAATTAATTACGAAAAGACTAAGGGAATAAATATTGGCGCAAATAAACACAAACGGCCTACTTTTCAAAAGATAAGCTGGACAACAGATAACATAAAAACACTAGGTATTCACCATGGTTATAACATTGATAATGACAAAATTTGGAAAACAATATTAGAAAAAGTACAAAATTGTGTACACGTTTGGAAAAGTAGAAAATTGACATACACTGGAAAAGTCCTTATTGTTAAAAATTTAATTATTTCAGTGTGTGGTTATGAGTTAGAAATAAGAGGTATACCTGAAAAATACAAAAAAGATTTGAATAAGATAATATGGAATTTTATTTGGGATGGTAAAGTGAATCAAGTAGACCGTAAGGTTTGTTGTTTAGATGTTAAAAAGGGGGGCATGGGGATGGTAAATTTGGATAGTTGGATAGAAAGTAAATATATCAAATCGTTATATTCGATATTACACAAGCCATTATCTAGTTGGAATGCAATAGGTAAATTTTGGTTAAAAAAATACGATAAGAAATTTGCAGATGAACTTTTTTTGTGTAGATGTTCTGACCTTTCAGGTCTTGAGATCAAAAACCTACCACATTATTACAAAAGCGTTTTACAATCTTGGTCAAAATTGACAAGTATCACAGAGGGTATCTTTAACGAAATGGAAGTAAAGAAACAGCGATTATTTGGAAACTCAAATATTTTATTTCAGGGCAAATCTTTATTTTATTCTTCTTTTTCAAAAAGTCAAATAAAAACTATTGGTGATATATGGGACAATAATACCAAAGATTTTAAATCGTGCAATGAAATATATCAACAACTAATAGATAAACGTAATTGTATTTCGGAATACTCGCGAATTAAAAGTTCCATACCACAAACATACGTGCAGATTTTAAAAAACAACGATGTTCAACGCACTTTAAAAAGCCACAAAATCAAAATTTCTGAAAACTTTGAATTTCTAAATCCAGATAATAAAATCATTAAGGTTCATCATAACAAATGGACAAATATGGCCGTATTTTCACCTAAAAAACTACTCTGTGTACAGGCTTACCTGTGCAGTTTGGAAAGTTTTAAGGCCTGGCATCCACTAGATGTATAAAAGTTAAATTT